TATTTAGAGATACATTGTCATTTATTTCATTCATTTGTTTTACAGACCAGGACTAAAGCACTTGTCAGTTGATGCCATTGACTGCCTGGCAATCAAAATAATGGAAGTTCAAAGAAGATAAACTTCCTCCAGGGCTTCATTGTCTAATTGGCTAAAGCAGTGAAATTCAGTAAATGTTGGAGGTGCTTCCTCACACGTGTCCTGCAACCTCTCTTATCCAGTGTGTTTGCTGAGATGTTGATCTCTTCATTCTCTGTTATATGAAATAGAAACTCATTTCTTTCTTTGATCTGAGAAGAATCTAATAGATGTAAGAGTCTTATTCTGTGTCTGTTTCATTAGATGTACTGAAACAAGCTCTCAATAGCTTCTTGTTTTGAATATTTTCTCTGTATGCCGGAAATTCTTGGAAGTGCTTGAATCACAAACACAATAGGTTCAAAGACTGGAAAGTACACTTAAATCTGGTCTATCAAATAGCACACGGCCCTCATGCTGACATGACTTCAGCTGTTTTCATTTGAAATGGGCCTCGCAACAGAAGAGACCACCGCTTCCTCTTGAAAAAGAGCCCACCCCCGCCATCACGCCATGCACACATTATTTTTGAAATCAAACAGAGGCTTGGGGCAAAACTGCCACAGAAATTAATAAAAAAAATGACCCCCAAATGCAAACTATGGGGCAAAAAAATGCCCCTGTATGACTTGTTTTTAATATTTATAACATAATATAGTTATGCAAAACAAGAGTGCTGTTTGCCGAACATTAACATGATTGCAGATGTGATATTGGTTTTACAAAACAGTTAAACAAAAAAGAAGCTAATATTAGGTGACTGACATTTTAGACTCAGAATACTGTGTTTTTGTTTCGCCATCAAAAATAGTTCCAACCAAAGGCTGATAAAATGATACCTGCGCTCCAGCATGCTGCAGGAAAGACTGTCACACTTGTGTCAACTGAACACCATGTTGAAATCGCTGGATGAGGAAAAACTCGTCAGAGGTCATCAGAAAGCCAAGTTCTAAACCTCAGAATCAGAGCAAGTGTAACATTGTTCCTCTTGATGTAGGCCATTTGTATTGATATTGAATGACTAATTCTTATTAAATGCATGCCTTATCTAATCCATGTTCTCTCATTTTTACTCCTTTGCTCTCAAGGTCTGGTCATTACACCATCCACGTGCTGTGAGGAGCTGAGAGAGTGACGAAGACTGAAGGCTGTTTTTGGTCATGATTGTTGAAGTAGCATTTAGCAAATACTGATGAAGAGAGTGAACAGCACCAGTTTTCTCTGCAGGATCATAATGTTATTTTTTATTTGGAAGGAACAACTGTGCAGCATGGACACTTAACACAAGATACCGGTGTGAAAATAATGAGATTGCGGGCAAGTCTGTAATGTTGTTCTTCATCAGGAATTGCTCCGTTATTAAACACAATTTTAATAAAGCAGAATTAAGATGAACACAGACTGATAGCCTCAGCAGAAGCAAATAGCACTCATTTCTGTAAAACACTCTTCTGAGAAACAGATGCCATTTAAATTTTTTAGTTTTTTAAGTGTACTTTCTTACACTTGGACATAATAAAGAGAAAACATCCCTGTTGTCATACATGCTTCATTGATTCACCAACATCACCATCTTGTGCTTAAACAGATCTGAGGTAACTATAACTCACAACTTGATTTTTCATTTGATACCTTTTTACTCTTACTGACTTGATTCTGGTTTTTCACAGTTTTGTGTCAAACAACAGAGTCTGTCAGAGTCTTGGCTTGTGTTTGGTCTGCTAGAAAACTTTTCATTTGTTTAACAGCATTAACTTATAGTCAATGAGCACTTCTCTCTGTTTTGCTCATGTCTCGTCTCAGGTAGATTATCAGCAGCTTTTCTCTCACACTAAAGCCTGTCCGGCTGTTGGGCTCATGAATATTAATCATGTTGTCTGCGTCACGTCAAGTCACTCAATCAAGTCAAAACGATTGGTCACATGTGAGACCTGCTATAATCCCACCCCAGTGACCAAATAAAAGGAGCACTGAATAGTGCGCTTATAACCAACAGCTGTGTTTCTCTCTCTGTCTGTCTGTGCGCTCATATAGAGTGAAATGGCAGAAGCCAGTATTTCAGTGGATCAGGACCAGCTCAGCTGTTCAGTGTGTCTGGATCTGCTGAAGGATCCAGTGACGATTTCCTACGTACTGTATGTGAATTACAGTCTCATGGGAGAGCTTTGTTTTACATGAATTGTATAATTCAGTTCAAGACTGAACCTTTTTTTTTTTTTACTTTGTGCATTTTAAACACTTGGGCTGCAACAAATGAATGAAAATAATGCTACATTTCATTATGGATTGGTTGCATCTGTGAGAATGAAAAACTGCATCAGTGAAGTCACTTTACAGTACTGGAAAAACACAGTGGGCCGTTAAGACATTCAAAGTTTTGTGAGTACAGACATTTTGCAACAGCATTTTGAATTCTTTGTGCTGTGTCTTGTTGTCGTGATTTATCTATATTCATGTCTTGTGCTACAGGAAGCATGCATTATATAGTTTTGGCACAGATACGGGAGATATTTTGAACAGTATATGTGTGCATGTCATTCAGATAGAGAATGCAGTAATGAACATATGTGGTTCTGTGTCTTGTTGTCGTGATTTATCTATATTCATGTCTTGTGCTACAGGAAGCATGCATTATATAGTTTTGGCACAGATACGGGAGATATTTTGAACAGTATATGTGCGCATGTCATTCAGATAGAGAATGCCGTAATGAACATATGTGGTTAGAAGTGTGAAATATGAAACCTAAATGTCATTTCAAACATAAGTAATGTTATTTTAACATGAACAAGTAACTGTAAAAGGTTTAGCCTTTAGCAGACAGAAATTTTATGGCAGACCGCTCTGTTTTTCATGTTTTGAGCCCATAAATGTGCTCATGGGATCACACATAGCTAAATATAAAGGAAAATACTGAGTAGCACTATAATCAATTAAACAGTTAAACGTATAGTGTTCAGAAAAGAATACCCCTTTCATTGCACAAGACTGCATTTGGGGAATATATAAACTCAATAAGCAATACAGCTGAATCGCAGGAGGAGCATCACAAAGCTGCATCCATGAAAACACCTTGAAACCACATCCATTTGAAGGCTATTTCAAACCAACAATCAAATTAATTGCATAGCAAAAGCAAATATCATGCCATGACTCGTACCATATGCTGTGTAATCAAACAATCTAAAGTAATATGACTGACATTGTACACAGTCCCAGCACCATCATCTCAAATCAGTGCATCAGACACAAGATCACAGACAGATGTGACGTGATTCACGCTCATGAGCTCTTACTAATAAACTGAATGTAATTTTGATTCTGTTGCTTTTATATGAAAATAGGTTCACATATGATGAACAAGACATCCAAAGTACCCACAAAGACCAGTTTTCCAACCATTTTATTTATTATTACTTTATAGGTATTTTTGAAATATATCAACAATCACGTATCATTCACATGTAATCATTCATATAAAAACATGATCTCAGAGATAAAACGTCACTGCCAGAGGATGTTGTGTAGATTTTAAAGGGTAACCCACGATGTATTTAAGCTTTCATCATTTACAACTTATCACACACAATTAGAAATAAGACATTTGGCCCATTTCAGATTAAAACAGCTGAAGCAAAGCAAAGGCCTGTACTGGTCTGAAGTACCAACTCATGTCAGCATGAGGGCCGTGTGCTATTTGATAGACCAGCCGCTGATTTAAGTGTACTTTCCAGTCTTTGAACCTATTGTGTATTAAATTCAAGCACTTCCAAGAATTTCCGACAGAGAAAATACTCCAAACAAGAAGCTATTGAGAGCTTGTTTCAGTACATCTAATGAAACAGACACAGAATAAGACTCTTACATCTATTAGATTCTTCTCAGATCAAAGAAAGAAATGAGTTTCTAGTTAATATAACAGAGAATGAAGAGATCAACATCTCAGCAAACACACTGGATAAGAGAGGTTGCAGGACACGTGTGAGGAAGCACCTCCAACATTTACTGAATTTCACTGCTTTAGCCAATTAGAGAATGAAGCCCTGGAGGAAGTTTATCTTCTTTGAACTTCCATTATTTTGATTGCCAGGCAGTCAATGGCATCAACTGACAAGTGCTTTAGTCCTGGTCTGTAAAACAAATGAATGAAATAAATGACAATGTATCTCTAAATATTCACTGCACAATACAGTCAGTAAACAGCATTAAAGCAGTCATTTAAAACACAATCGACTGATGAGCAAATCAATAAACACTATATTATAATATGGACACGGGCGATTCTAGGATTTTTTCAGCTGGGGGCACAAGAGGGGCCACAATTACAGTTTTTCTCAGTTGCTTTGGTACATTTCTCTAATCATCCTTGACATTTGCAAAACAGTAAGTGCATTTCTCAAAACAACTCGTACAAATAGCAAAACACCATGGATTACCTGCAAAAGCCAGTCTCTTGCTCAAAATCCTTAGTTCATCTCTCAAAAATAAATAGCTGTGTCAATGAACATGTCAGTGCCATCAGAATGACAAGTCTTTGTGTCATTGCGTACGGATAAGACAGTCAAATTGCTTAGTCATGTTGTCAATATAACAGTGTACTCTGGAGGGATGTTCTGATGTAAACTATGGCTACAGTTTTGATGACAATTATTGTAAATTGTAGGTTACACCTTAGTGTATGTGGGAGTTTGATTGCAAGAGACTGGACAAGATTCACATTTATGCTTTTACTGTTTGTACTGTAATTTGTTGACAGACCATGTCATTGCGATACAGAAAGGAAAAGATAGCACTGCATAGCATAAAGAAAAAAACAAAAGAAATAGAAATGTGAACATAGGACAATCTCCTTAGGGAAAACGGTACATGCAGTGCTGTAGGAATTACAGTGCAGTCTTCGTACACCTCCTGACGTTCCGGTCTGTTGGGCCACAAATTCTCATCCACATCACAACGAATATCTTCTCTTGCGATGCAGCATGGAAAGAATCTTTTAGAGTGTCTTATCCAGCCTCTGCTGTGATGTCATCACACGCTGCATCCATGGCAGCCAGAAGGGTCATCTGTGTATGTGGCTGGCGATCATATACTTTCCATCTCCATGCTGAGAAAAATTCCTCAATGGGGTTAAGGAATGGAGAGTAGGGTGAGAGGAACTCCATCAGCATCCTGTTGTGGGCTGCAAACCATTGCCTGATGATGTTGGAGCGATGGAAACTGACATTGTCCCAAACTATCACGTACTTTGGCAGGTCATCTCCAATCTGACCCCTCTCTTGTTCAGGGATGAGATCCCTGTAGAGAGTGTCTAAAAAGGTGACAAGACACTCTGTATTGTATGGCCCAATAATGGGAATATGCGTTAGCACACCATTCTCAGAGATAGCAGCACCCATGGTTATGTTCCCGCCCCGTTGGCCTGGCACATCAACTGTAGCTCTGTGGCCGATGATATTTCGACCACGCCTTCTGCGTTTCGTTAGGTTGAAGCCAGCCTCATCCATGTAGATGAAGCTGTGCGGTGGTTCACTTGCTTCCAGTTCCATTATACGCTATATCCAGAAGACACAAAATGAGTTTTATGAACTACATGCATTTTCATTTTGGCCAAGATACACTTACATCAAATGTATACAGCACATATTGCATCTTCTTTTCTACAGCCATAACAAATGTGTAAAGGTCACACTTACTGTATTGTATATCACTATACGATGTTGTACTGTTTACTGTGAGGTACAGTTGCTGCATGCTCATACATGTTTTACCTGTACATACTGGTAGCGCAGCTCCTTCACTCTTTCACCATTTCTTTCAAATGGAACAGTGTACAGCTGCTTCATATTCATTTGGTGTCTTTTCAGCACCCTGTCAATGGTTGAGATGCTGACTGTTTGGATGTTTTCAAAGATGTTGTTGTCCTCTATAATGGCACTCTTTATCTCCCTTAGTCTTATGGCATTGTTTTCTACAACCATGGTGCAAATAGCCTCCTCCTGTTCAGGTGTGAAAAGGGGCCCTCTGCCACCCCTGTGAAGTTGTCTTGCAGTCCTATGTGGAAAAAATATAGTAATGCAAAACACAAAATTGAGTAAGATAAAAATGTCACTGTTTAAAGTATACTTACTGTATATTGTAAAATGCAAGTGGAATACTGTAATATTGTATGAAGCATTACAGAAAGTATACAGTATTACAGTACAGTGACTATTGTTAGATTACATACCTGTTCTGTCGGAATGATTGAGGACACAGTTGTTCTCCCAACATTTGGCTGCACCCTTCGACCAGCCTCGGCCATTGTAAGCCCATGATTGAGAACGTGGTCTACAAGTGTGGCTCTTATCTCATCAGGAACACGCATATGTCCTCGGCCTCTTCTGCCTCTTCCTCTGTTTTGCCTCCCAACTCCTCCGCCACGCAGCCTCACTCCTCTTCCTCTTCTTCTTCTCTCTGGCTGTTGACCCCGTCCAATTCCTTGTCCTTCCATTGTCAGACATTGAAACATTGTGTTGTGCTCCGGCTATATATATACTTGCCAGTTGATGGTTCATGAGATGCACCTTCGTTAGAGAAAATCAAGATTCACCTGGGAGCAATTTACCAATGCAGGACAGATTTAGAAAAAAAGTCTAATGGAAATGTATAGAAATATGCTTGACATATTATGACAACTTGTTCAACCATTTTGCATGTAAAGACTTATGCTATGAACTAATGCCTAAATGTTGTGGGGGGGTGAGACTATTCAACAGAGACCCATTATAATACATTTTGATCAACATGACATAAGCAATTGATAATGTAGGAAACAGCAGAGAATTGTACATAATCATTTGCATGGATGTACCAAAGCATTTGCAACTTGTTCAAAGAAATTAGAAACTGCTTTTTTGATGTGAACAAGTGACACAGTGATGTGAAGATTGAACAGGTAGTTTTGAGAATTTAAATTCTGATCTGAGAAATGTACCAAAGCGACTGAGAAAAACTGTAGTACAGAGGGGCCGATCTTATGTTGTGTATTTATATGTAGAACTGTAGATATTAAAATAATTTAAAGTTCAGTAAGCTTTAAAATCACCTTATTATCTTTTAATGGCATTTATTCACTGCTGTAAATCAGAAGTCAAATACAATTTGTATTACCTTTTCACTTTTCAGAAGTCAAAAACTGTAATAAATACAAGAATCCAATGTGTGAATAGAGTACAGCTCACAACAATAATAAAACTCAACATTAATGCTTTAATGCAGGGCTGATTGATGAGCTGATGAGTGGCAGTTGATGGTTATCAGAAAGATGGTGAGAGAGAGTGGTGTGTGTGTGTGTGTGTGTGTGTGAGCGAGAGAGAGAGAGTGTGTGTGAGTGAGAGAGAGAGAGAGAGAGAGAGAGAGAGTGTGTGAGAGAGAGAGAGTGTGTGTGAGTGAGTGAGTGAGTGAGTGAGTGAGTGAGTGAGTGAGTGAGTGAGTGAGTGAGTGAGTGAGTGAGTGAGTGAGTGAGTGAGTGAGTGAGTGAGTGAGTGAGTGAGTGAGTGAGTGAGTGAGTGAGTGTGTGTGTGTGTGTGTGTGTGAGCGAGTGAGTGTATGACGAGAGAGACAGGTGAATGCATGACACATGCAGTATGTTGTTCCAAACCTGTATGACTTTCTTCACAATTTCTTTTGTAACATGGAAAAAAGAAAGTTATTGTCCAGATATAATGAGCGTCAATGGTGATCAAAATAGAGCTTGATTTGTTTTCCATTGCCTTTCATTACAATTGACAAAACATGTCCTTGTTTGTTTCATGGAAGAAAGAAAATCATAAAGGTTTGGAATAACATGAGAGAGAGTATGACAGAATTTAAATTTTTGGGTGAAATACCCCCTTTAATTTATCTATCTGACTGCCTTGAAACATTAAACGGGTTTCCTGGGTCAGAAATAGTCTTTGATATAGTGAACAACTTTTCTCTGATTATAAGTTGAGGAGAGTGAATTGTTTACTCAAATGGTTCTCCAGTGAGATGTGTGACATTCAGGTGAAGCAAATCCAGCTTTGCAGATCAGAAATATATTTAGCAGAGGTCACCTGTCACAGTTTCTGTTAGTTTGGACTTTCTGTTTGCACCGTTGTCACCGTCTAGTTAGTTGTCATGGTTTTTGATTTCGTCATTCAGTTCAGGTGTGTCTAGTCATTATCCTAGTTTGGTCTGTGTATTTAAGTTCCTGTCTGTTCAGTGTTAGTTTGTTGGGTCTCGTCAATGTTATGTGTCACCAGTCTTCCCTTACCTTAGAATTATCTCTCTGTGGATTTATTAAAAACTGTTTTCCTTCGTCTTTGTGCGTTCATCGACACAGTATCGTGACAGTACCAGAATCGAGTGGCGTTATATATGTCGCCTCTGGCTTGCTTAGTTGGGGACACTTCATTTCCAGTGATATCACAACAAACTGTACTTAATTATTTATCCATCATTGATGATTACATTTCTTACATATACACTTTTTTTAATAATGATATACAAATTTATTATAATACTTAATATTACTACAATTCTAAATTATTATAACAATTTATTAAATTATAACAATTTTATGAGCAATATTAGTCAAATTATCCATAAGAAACCGTTTTACTGTGGTGAATGAAGTTCGAGGTTGCGTCAGTCATGTTCAGGTTGCAAACTCCGTACACCAAACATCTTTTTATGAATATGGTCCATTTCGAAGTGTTTATATCCAAACACAATATTCGTAGATTCTCCTCTACCCCTGTAGTGTTCTGCGCTTGCACAGCGTCATGCAGCCGTGTAGACTCTGATCAGAGGCGCCGGTGCCGCTGCTTCCGTGGATTGCAGTTTGTGTAGGCTATTAGTTAATGTTGCAATGATTTTTTTAAAGGTTAATTACAGTTCTTTTAAAGTCATTACCGAGTCATGCGTATCGAGACTGATTTAATTTAGAATTTACTAACTCAAAGTCAAGTAATTTTCTTCATTTATTAAATGAGGTCTTCCTAAATGGATTCCATGTCAAAACACCTTTTATCTAGTCTTTTCTAACCCCAGAAAAAAGTGAGGGTAATCCTAATAATCTGAGTTATGAGTAATGTGTCTGCCTCACCAGGTTATGAAAAGGATATCTCTGCCTTTAAATGGACTAGAAGCTTTATGGAAGTGTCTAAACTTGCGATCATCAGCTTTGACATCTCTTCATCATTTGTCAACATTAACTTATTTTCCAAATTGTTTAAATAATTGTAATTTATGGTTGCATTGCATGTTTTGATCTGAACACCTGAGACATATTAGGAGGGAGTCGAGGGACTTTTGTCCATGCAAGCTCACAGACAAGAAAATAGACTAATTTTGAAGAAAACAGCCCCAACAAGCCTAAGTAAATGTTCAAATAGCTTTCATGACTCTTTATAGTTCTTGGAAGTAGTAGTAGTAAATTGGTGCAGTAATGTGTGTTTGTTTGTCTTTCCCCTCATCATTACTTTTTTGGCAATTATTACATGTAGAGTGTTAGATAAATGATATGCCTAGTCAAATTACATATGAATGAGATAATCATCTGTACTCTCAAAGAGTACAGATACAAATATTTCCGTATATGTCTGATTGCCAAACCAAACAGATGTCATATGGACTGTTGCTGTGTGTATTTGTAGGTTGTCTGGCTGTATGGTGACAGAGGAAGGCTGTGGTTATGTGTCTTCAGCTCTGAGTTCAAACCCCTCACACTTGAGAGAGCTGGATCTGAGCTACAATCACCCGGAGATTCAGGAGTCAAGCTGCTCTCTGAGATACTCAGCCATCCAAACTGCTCACTGGACAAACTCAAGTACGTCGAGCAGAAATAATCGCACTGCTGTGTGTGTGTGTGTGTGTTTGCTCATCATACCAGAATGTGACATTCTGTGTGTTTTCTAGTGTGGCTCATGGAGGAGAATTCAGGATTACAGCAGGACTACACAAATGTACGTCTGCACACACACACACAGACACACACTTTTAGTGATTGTTATTGTTTTGATATAAATGTTCTAGTAACACTTAATAAGGTTCATTAGTTAACATGAACTAACAATGAACAATACTTCTACAGCATTTATTCATCTTAGTTCATATTAATCTCAACATTTACTAATGCATTATTAAAATCAAGAGTTATCCTTGTTAACATTAGTTAATGCACTGTGAATAAATATGAACTAACAATAAACAACTGTAGTTTCATTAACTAACCCTAACAAAGATTAATAAAAACTGTAATAAATGTATTGTTCATTGCTCATTCATGTTAGTTATTACATTAACTACCATTAACTAATGGAACCTTATTGTAAAGTGTTACCAATATTCTTTCTTTCTTATTTAGATGCCTGTGATCTCACACTGGATCTAAACACAGCAAACATTCATCTCATTGTGTATGAGGAGAACAAAAAGGTGATACATGTGAAAGAGGATCAGTTATATCCTGATCATCCAGAGAGGTTTGATGAGTGTATTCAGGTTCTGTGTCGAGAGAGTCTGTCTGGACGATTTTACTGGGAGGCTGAATGGAGTGGATATGATGCTGATATGTCCGTCACATATAAAGGTATCCGCAGGAAAGGAGGGAGTGATGATTGTTGGTTTGGGTCCAATACAAATTATTGGAGTCTGATCTGCTCTGATTTTGGTTTTACTGTTCGTCACAATAAGAAGTTCACTGTCATACATGTCCCTTTGCGCTCCTCTAAGAGAGTCGGAGTGTATCTGGACTGGTCTGCCGGCACTCTGTCCTTCTACAGCATCTCTGACACACTCACACACATTCAGCTCCACATTCACTGAACCTCTCTGTGCTGGATTTGTAGTTTGTGAGGGTTCCTCGGTATCTCTGTGACATCCTGTGAAAAGCCTGTGAGCAACAAAAGAGACACACACACACCTGACTAAAAAGAAATCCTCTCACTTTATATATTTGTCCTGTCAGTTACCCAGCATTTTTTTGCATTTGCAAGACCTCTGGCTGGGTTTGTGTACATTTACTCTCAAGAGATTTTGCAATTATGTGAACATTTTTTGGTGATTTGTTCTTTGCTAGTTAGGTCCAGAATTATGTGAAATATTACGTGTTTTGTATGTGCTCTCATTGTTCAGTTGTCTATTCTCAGAAGTGTAGTGCCACTTGATGACTATGTTCAGAATAACTTCTTTTTATGTTACATTTACATGTATCACCTTTTGCACTTTCACAGATGGACTGGGACCAATAATAATATGAAATATCTTTAACTGATCCAGAGGTGGCCGAGGTGGAGCCAGCACTTCTTCATAACACTGTCTTTATCACCTTGTCCTTGTCAAAAACAGGAAGTTTCACTGATTTACATTTCAATTATTTCCTCAAGGAACAAATCAATGAGCTTGACTGTACATCCTGGTTTACACTGACTGATGCATTTTCAAGGCATGACCAGATCAGGAACAAAAGAGAAGGAAGAGAAGAGGACAAAACTGCTCAGAAAGAAAACTATATGGTTCTGAGAAGGCTGTCAGTGCCAGGCACCAAAAGGACATACAGAGTCACTCAAGATGAATTAATATAATTTGTATTTCTCTGTTAATTTATTAACCCTAACTTGCAAACACAGCATGCATTAAATATGATTTTTATACCACCCAACATTAAAAGCTTCTGTATCATCTGTCTGTATGTTTCCAATGTAAGTCATAACCAAATGTCTTATTTCTAATTGTGTGTGATAAGTTGTAAATGATGAAAGCTTAAATACATCGTGGGTTACCCTTTAAAATCTACACAACCTCCTCTGGCAGTGACGTTTTATCTCTGAGATCATGTTTTTATATGAATGATTACATGTGAATGATACGTGATTGTTGATATATTTCAAAAATACCTATAAAGTAATAATAAATAAAATGGCTGGAAAACTGGTCTTTGTGGGTACTGTGGGTGTCTTGTTCATCATATGTGAGCCTAATTTCATATAAAAGCAACAGAATGTAAATGCCATTCAGTTTATTAGTAAGAGCTCATGAGCGTGAATCACGTCACATCTGTCTGTGATCTTGTGTCTGATGCACTGATTTGAGATGATGGTGCTGGGACTGTGTACAATGTCAGTCATATTACTTTAGATTGTTTGATTACACAGCATATGGTACGAGTCATGGCATGATATTTGCTTTTGCTATGCAATTCATTTGATTGTTGGTTTGAAATAGCCTTCAAATGGATGTGGTTTCAAGGTGTTTTCATGGATGCAGCTTTGTGATGCTCCTCCTGCGATTCAGCTGTATTGCTTATTGAGAATTAGGATTAAATCCACACTACCATTCAAAGCTTTGGGGTTGGTTTTTGAAAGAAATCTTCTACTCACTTTTATTTGATCAAGTATACAGTAAAAACAGTAATATTATGAAATATTGTTATATTAATAATACAATATAAATGAATAACTATTTCTATTTTCTATCAAAGCACTGATTGCATCAGTTTGTCTGATTGAGAGAAGAATCACACAAGAAATGAGGAGCTGTCGCTCATAAGATGCAGTATAGGGAGCAGGACTTGACCTGTTTCTCTGTCCTCGCCGCTGCAGTTGATACAGTGACATGATTGTTGTGTTCATCCTCCAAACACAGCATACAGATACAGCTCTGGTCAGTACAGCAGTACATTTCCAGTAGTTCATCATGTCGAGGGCAGATCAGCTCCTGCAGGCGTTCAGTGGCGGCCATCAGATTGTGTTTTTGACCTCTGAAGAGATTCTCGTGCTGTTCAAGGTGAGTTTGACAGTAAGAGATACGACACTCCAGACAATATTTCACTGCTCTCTGTTTAATTTCAGTGCACTGAACATCTCCAGATCCAGCGTGATGAACTGCAGGACCAGCAGCTTGGAGCCTCGTCTTCTTCAGTTTCTGCAGCACATGTTTCCATAAATCTGGTCTTGGACTGAAGGTCTGTCTGCACTGAGGGCAGCTGTAGATACTCTTCCAGTCCTCCTCGTCCCAGCAGCCTGAGATGCATCTCATACAGAAAGTGTGTCCACAGGAAATCGTGTTTGTCCCAAAGCTTGCCTACTCTTCTACTACACACTCAACAGTGTGCACTTTTTCTTCACCAAAAGAATACATTTAGGGTGTAGTGAAAGTAGGTGAATTGGGATGCAACAACAACAACAACACACAATAAAATAATTGTGTTTTTAAGTCAAAAACAACATTTCAATTTAATTTGTTGTCCTTAAGCTAGCAAAACGTATATAAAAAAATGAAAAATACCTAATATAAAATAAATTCATATATTTTATAACAATGTATTCATTATAAATCTCAAGACTTCTTTCCCTGTTTGTAAATTGCTTTTCATAAAGGTGTTTGTTATTTGAATTAATATCTTAAAGGGTGCTAAAGTTTTTTTTCATATATAAATATATTTTTATTTTTAAAATGTATTTTTACAGAATTTACTTTATAATGGTGTATAAACAAAAAATGAGCTCAACACCTCTAGACACACTTCTTACCCAAGGCTGTTTTACTGTTTTGTTTTTTTGAACTCTTTGGCTAACCAAAACCAACCCAGATCTCAGCCGATTATTTTATTTTTCTAGCAGACCAAACTCAAGCCCAGACTCTGCCAGACTCAGCCTTTTGCTGTTTATTTCTTTTGGTTGGCCAGACTCATGCCAGAGCTCAGCCTAATGCTGTTTGACACAAAACTGTGAAAAACCAGAATCACGTCAGTGAGAGTAAAAAGGTATCAAATGAAAAATCAAGTAGTGAGTTATAGTTACCTCAGATCTGTTTAAGCACAAGATGATGATGTTGGTGAATCAATGAAGCATGTATGACAACGGATGTTTTCTCTCTATTATGTCCAAGTGTAAGAAATTACACTTTTTAAAAACACAAATTAAAATGGCATCTGTTTCTCAGTAGATAAGCTGACAGTAGTACATCAGTAACAGTGGGTTTAGTCTATTGTCACATTACCACAGTACAGTGATGCTATCATTTACAATATTACTGTGAAATATATTGTACAGTCATTACCCTGATTACCCAAAATTGTTACTTAATGGTTTGATTCACTGATCATATAAAGCATTTATTGGGAAATAAGAAATACATTAAGAAATACATGAGCTGCATTTTTTGGAAGTAAATTTTTTCTTGAAACTTTAATGTTAACAACACCTGTGTATGCACTCGTTAAAAAAGTACAGTCTACATTTAATATAACATACTTACCATTTCTGCTCAAAATGTAACCCACTTGAAATGAATAGCAATGCTACAGTAAAAGTCTCTACAGGGAATCCACTTAAATGAATACTTACATATATAATCTTCTAGAAATTTATACATTTATTTGCGTATGATGTTCTAAGTCCTTTACACATAGACAACTGTATTATTTCAGACTCATTTTTAAAAGCAAACAGACAAATAACTTCATGGCAGATCTCTCTCTCTCTCAGTTTTATGTTTTGAGCCCGAACAAAATCAGTGCTTGGGATCACACATAGCTAAATATAAAGAAAGGAAAATACTGAGTAGCACTATAATCAATTAAACAGTTAAACATATAGTGTTCAGAAAAAAGACCCCTGTCATTGCACAAGACTGCATTTGGGGAATATATAAACTCGATAAGCAATACAGCTGAATCACAGGAGGAGCATCACAAAGCTGCATCCATGAAAACACCTTGAAACCACATCCATTTGAAGGATATTTCAAACCAACAATCAAATGAATTGCATAGCAAAAGCAAATATCATGCCATGACTCGTACCATATGCTGTGTAATCAAACAATCTAAAGTAATATGACTGACATTGTACACAGTCCCAGCACCATCATCTCAAATCAGTGCATCAGACACAAGATCACAGACAGATGTGACGTGATTCACGCTCATGAGCTCTTACTAATAAACTGAATGGCATTTACATTCTGTTGCTTTTATATGAAAATAGGCTCACATATGATGAACAAGACACCCAAAGTACCCACAAAGACCAGTTTTCTAGCCATTTCATTTATTATTACTTTATAGGTATTTTTGAAATATATCAACAATCATGAATCATTCACATGTAATCATTCATATAAAAACATGATCTCAGAGATAAAACGTCACTGCCAGAGGATGTTGTGTAGATTTTAAAGGGTAGCCCACGATGTATTTAAGCTTTCATCATTTACAACTTATCACACACAATTAGAAATAAGACATTTGGTTATGACTTACATTGGAAACATACAGACAGATGATACAGAAGCTTTTAATGTTGGGTGGTATAAAAATCATATTTAATGCATGCTGTGTTTGCAAGTTAGGGTTAATAAATTAACAGAGAAATACAAATTATATTAATAGGGGTCAAAAAATAATAATTAGCTGAACTATTATGAGGAGAAGACAGTTC